TACCCAGAATGCATCGCTTCAGTTTTCCAATAAACAGTTTBAAAATTGCTTTATTGATGCTTTTTTAATGAAAAATCTACAACAAACAAAAGAAAAGGACAAAGAAGCAGCAGAACTAGCAATCCTCAACAACTTTTAAATTTTTACACCAGGAGCCAAAGGTCTGTTTCAGGAAATCACATCCCCAGCAATCGCAGTTGTAGAGTTAAGTTGTAAAAGGTTTCATACACCACGAGTTGGCAGTGTTGTGCATATATACATACATGCATGAATTGTTGCTGGTTAGTAAATGTCAAATTGAACTTGTGCTGTAAAATTATCTCCTGCTAATTTTTCTATGGCATAAGCGCTTTAGAAATTGCGGAGCTAATTTTTGGATTAGCGCTGCCCACCACTGCAAATCTGTATCATGTTTCCACCAGCTAAAAGCTGAGATGGCTTTTATTGTTACCTCCATTAATTTTGGTTTTGAAATTATTTTTGCCATTTGAATTATTAAAAACTGTAAAAATTTATTTTGGTTCAGTAAAATTTTGTTTCAAATGACCACATTCTCATATACTGTCTGCAAAAATCTGCCATAATTGAGCCAATTTTATGAAATATTTTTCAGAAATACAACCCCTGGCAAAAATTATGGAATCACCAGCCTCAGAGGATGTTTGTTAAGTTGTTTCATTTTGTAGAAAAAAAAGCAGATGACAGATATGGCACAAAACTAAAGTCATTTCAAATGTCAGCTTTCTGTCTTTAAGAAACACTAAAAGAATCAAGAAAAAAATGTGGCAGTCAGTAACAGTTACCTTTTTTTTTGGCCAAGCAGAGTCAAAAAATTATGGAATCACTCAATTCTGAGGAAAGCATTATGGCATCATGAAAAACAAAAGGACACTCCAACACATTACTAGTACTTATTTTTCTTGCACCACTTCTGGCTTTTCTAACAGCTGCAGTCTCTGAGGCATGGACTTAATGAGTGACAAACACTCTTCATCAACCTGGCTCCAACTTTCTCTGATTGCTGTTGCCAGATCAGCTTTGCAGGTTGGAGTCTTGTCATGGACYATTTTCTTCAACTTCCACCAAAGATTTTCAATTGGATTGATATCCRGACTATCTGCAGGCCATGACACTGACTTTGTGTCTTTTTTCAAGGAATGTTTTCAGTTTTTGCTCTATGGCGGGATGCATTATCATCTTGAAAACTGATTTCATCATCCTCAAACATCCTTTCAATTGATGGGATAAGAAAAGTGTCCAAAATATCAACTTAAACTTGTGCATTTATTGACGATGTAATGAGTCATCTCCCCAGTGCCTTTCCCTGACATGCAGCCCCATATCATCATCGACTGTGGAAATTTGCTTGTTCTCTTCAGGMAGTCCTCTTTATAAATCTCATTGGAACGGCACCAAACAAAAGTTCAGCATCATCAGCTTGCCCAATGCAGGTTCACCATTCTTCACTGAAAAAGACTTTCATCCAGTCAACGGTCCATGATTGCTTTTCCTTGCCCATTGTAACCTTGTTTTTTTCTGTTTARGTGTTAATGRTGGCTTTCTTTTAGTTTTTCTGTATGTAAATCCCATTTCCTTTAGGTGGTTTCTTACAGTTCTG